TGGAGAATGGTCTTTATAAGAAAAAGCTTTAGAAGAAGTATTGACATACTGATTTCAGTGAAGCTGAAGTTATCAAGCAGGCTAGTGGATACATAGAAAATAAATTAGTCACCTTGCCTGTGTTTTTCCATGAAAGTGAGCATGACTAAAACTCTTAAAACCTAACAACAACAATAATATAAAAACTCTCTAAAACAATGAGTCTCTCCTGCCTAAAGAGACAAGAGTTTTCATTTACATGGCATACGGTAATAATATTCATCAAGAAAAAGACAGAAATCCATACTTTGGCTTTCCCTTGTCTGTGTTAAACCACTTATATGCCATTGATCTTGTTTTTCATTTCTTCACTATTTATCCTTTTAAAATTTCAGCTTCCAGACATCTCATTCTTTGCCTCTCAATTCTTTTTGTTACGTGAACCATTCTCAGTGACGTGATCAGATAAGCAGAGTCAAAATATTTTACTCTATTCTCAGAAGTCTGAAACTTTAACAGTCATGAGCTGGGGATGTTAGCTCAGTGGTACAGCACTTACCTAGAACGCCTGAGACCCTGGGTTTGATCCTCAGTACCAAGAAAAAAAAAAAAGATAAAATTTTCATAGTCATGAGACAAGAGAGGTTGACCAAAAGATGGAGTTCAGGACAACAGAATTATCACACACTTATCCCTCAGGGGACCAAGCGCTAAGAAGAAGGAAGAGAATGGACATATATAAGCGTCCACGTGTGCCAGACAACAATCCAGGCATATTGCTACATGTCATCGCAACCACTCTTACAGCAGCTCTATGAGGTAGGGATCACCATCTCCATTATTCAGGTAAGAAGACCGAGGATCAGTCTTGTCGATGTCAGTCAGTGTTCTTGGATGCTGGGAGCATACAAGGGTTTGTCTTCAAGTGGGGAGTGAGTTGCAAGAATGTGCAGAGACAGGAGGGAGGGTGGAGACAGTCTAAAGAATGAACAGGTATCCTTGTTTGTTTATATTTATTCTCTCTGGGTGTACTATAAGGGAGTTGAACATCTATTCCTTTCAACAAGCAGCATTCAATAATTAGTTAGTGAATATTTAGTCGATAATTTTTTAACTATCCCTGATATGCATGAAACTATTCTAGGTCCTATGATTCTAAAGATGAAAAGATGCTTAGGAAGAATGACCAAGAAACAAATCATCACCAGTCAGTGCGGGGGACACCCCAGAGAGAGTCACTTCACAAAGGTGCTTCAGCCATGTAGGGTAAGTATGTTCTGGGGCTTTAATGTATAGCATGGTGACATTATAACAATGCTGAAGGGCTGGGGATATAGATTTGGGGAGGGCCCTTCTCTAGCATAAGCAAGGTCTTCAACTCAAGACCAGTGCAAAAAGCAATAAAACAATAAAAAACCAAAACCAAACCAAACAACAACAAAAATCTGTATTTTTGAAGCTGTCTGAAAAGTAGGTCTTAAATGTTCTCACCACAAAACAAAACGAAAGGTAACTCTGGGAGGGGAGGGATATGTTAATTAGTTTGATTCTGGTAAACATTTTGAAGTGTCTGTTCAAATATCACACTCTACGCTGTAAACATATGTAATTTTTATTTCTCAATGAAACCTCAATAAAACTTGGAAAATAATTAAATAAATACATAAAGATTCAAAAAACCAGATTCACAAAGAAGCAGGTACAAAGTCAATGTTTGAACTGGGTGATCAGGAAAAGTGTCACCAAAACCAAAGTACAAAGAAAGTGAAAAGGCCAGGAAGGCTGTTCTGGTGTGCCATGCCAGGAAGGGGGATGACAGCAAGTGATGGTTTTAGGCAAGGGAAGCCTGAATAAACTCTTTAGACTTAATCCACTTCACCTGTTCATCGTTACCTGCTGATTTGACCAATTTTAGAGGAATAGGTAATACCTCTGACTGTGGGCACAACGGTTGAGCTGAAGAAGTTGATGCCTGCACAAAACCCCAATTACACATGCCCTTCAATCACCTTTCCCCATACCTCAACCCAAAAATAGCCCCCAACCCTAAAAGTCGACTTTGAGATTGGCTCTTCCATCTCCACCCTTGGCCACTTCATTGAGAAAAAAACTCTTGCAAAACTCGTTATTTCAGTGATTGACATACAGCATTGTGCAAAATAGTCCTGGTTCAGTACCAATAAGATAAGACTTAATTGAGAATAGTGACAGTGGGGGTTAGCATGAAGGATGGGCCAATGGAGGCCCAGACAATAAGGAGGTTATGTGAATGACATCCAGTACAAAGGCCAGAACTGGGGCAGGAACGTGAAAATAGAGGAGGAAGCAATCCATTAAGAGGCACCTAAGACAGAGTGGGTAGGACTGAGTCATTAGGTAGGGGGTCAGGAGGAAGAAGGACTTTAAGATGATCCCTAGGCTTGGGCAATTGCAGAGGAATCTGAACCACGTTCCCAGCAAAGGGAACAGAGGAGCAGGAGGTCCGGGAGTTGGGAGAAACAATGAGCTGTTTGGACAGAGTGAACCTGAGGTACCAGCAGGTGCGGGGCAGAGAGGAACTCCAATAGGAAGCTGACCCCCATTTGGGTCTGGACACAGGAGAAGGACTAAGCTGGCATACAAATGTGAGATTACAAAAAAGGAGCACAAGAATCCTTGAGATCATCAATCTTGAAGGTATTACCAGGACAGGGAGATAGCAAATGGGCCCCAAAAAAGGTCACTTACCCCTGGAACAGAGACACACAGATTGGACTGGATTGCTGTTGGCCTTTGAACTCAAAGATTGTTTGGGAATTGGGGGCAGATTTGGTCCCATGGCAAATCAAATCACATAAAAGCTACCATTATTAGTGAGGCAGTAACAAAAAGAAAGCAAGGAAGATAAAGCAATTGTAAATAAGATATGCTCACAGAGAGAGAAAAAGAGGGAGAAAGACAGACCTAGCATTAGCACCTCCATTCCCATCCTAACTTATCTAATTCTCACAACGACACTATTGAGAAAGACACTGTTTTTATTTCCATTTTACCGACGAGGAAACGCAGGCAAAGAGTCAGTAAACTATTTTCTGGAGACACACAGTTCCTAAGTGTGGAACTTGTCAAAAATAACCTTTTCCTGCAAAAGTTTGGATTTCTAGTCTCCTGAATAAATATGAATGCTTATATGTCAACTAAGCACTGTGCTAAATCCTGGGGATGAAAAGAAACTATGGAAATAAGAATGTGTTCTTGTCCTTAAGAACATTCCAGTTCAGTAGGAGAGAAGCTCTGGGACGGAGGTGGGGGAGAAGCAGGATGGGGTTGGGGGGTGGAGAGGAAGAGGGGAAGGAAAGAGCAGGGAGGGAAATGGAAGTTTATGCAGCCATGAAGAAGAACGAAATGTTATCATTCGCTGGTAAATGGATGGAATTGGAGAACATCATTCTGAGTGAGGTTAGCCTGGCCCAAAAGACCAAAAATCGTATGTTCTCCCTCATATGTGGACATTAGATCAAGGGCAAACACAACAAGGGGATTGGACTTTGAGCACATGATAAGGCGAGAGCACACAAGGGAGGGGTGAGGATAGGTAAGACACCTAAAAAATTAGCTAGCATTTGTTGCCCTCAATGCAGAGAAACTAAAGCAGATACCTTAAAGCAACTGAGGCCAATAGGAAAAGGGGACCAGGAACTAGAGAAAAGGTTAGATCAAAAAGAATTAACCTAGAAGGTAACACCCACACACAGGAAATCAATGCGAGTCAACTCCCTGTATAGCTATCCTTATCTCAACCAGCAAAAACCCTTGTTTCTTCCTATTATTGCTTATACTCTCTCTACAACAAAATTAGAGATAAGGGCAAAATAGTTTCTGCCTGGTAGCAAGGGGCTGGGGGGAGGTAAGAGAAGGAGTGGGGGGTGGGTAAGGGAGGGGTCGGGGGAAGGGGGTAGAAATGACCCAAACATTGTATGCACATATGAATAAAACAAAAATTTAAAAAGAAAAGGAAGGGAAGGGGAAAGCCTAGCAGCACTGGAACAACAGAAGCCAGTTAGGAGCAGAGGCAGAAAATAAAGAGGTCTAAGGGGAAGAGCACACCTCTGCTTAGACCATAAGAGCACAATTACTCGGAAAGGAGATATTTGGTGTATGTGCAAACAGCTTCCAGCACCACAGCGACTCTTAAGGGCTGGAGTGTACAATAATTGAAGGGTTATGGAGAGTGGCAGGAGGTTTTCAAAGAATCCAGAAAAGTTCTCACAGGAGAAGAAACAGGTTTTTAAGATGTCAACATGTGGAAGGAAGTACAGTTAAAATATGCCAGGCCCAAAGAGCACAAAAGCATATTATAATTGTTCCAATCAAGTAAGAGCTTTGCCCTATTTTCCTCTCCAGAAACCTAGTGAGCAACAGGGGGCCTGAAAGGCAGGGACAGTGGGGGACGTGGGGGGATGGTGGCAGGACAAGGCACTCTTGTGGATGGCTTGTATCCTTCAAAAGGCAACAGTGAAGGAGGCAGGAACACACACTTGAAGTTGATTACTACCCAGGGTTGGGCTTCAATGACTCACCAGAGCCTGCTGTTTCTGTTGTCGTGATGAATTAAAGTGACTGCAGGAGCTGATAGTTCCTACTAGTGATCAGAAGGACCAGAGTTCCCATCCAGAGTCAGAAGAGACAGTGAGGGACAAAAATAAAAGGACTTTAAAACTGCACTAGGCAACTTGCCTAGTTCAACACACCAATTTCAGAAGTAAAAATCACTCCCTTGGTTTTTTTTGCAGTCCCAGGAATGGAATTGATGGTTTGTCACTTTCCTCTACCACTGAGCTACATCCCCAGCCTAAGCTGTGGCTTTTAAATGGGAAATTTTAGGTGCTAGGGGATGTGGTGGAGTGTTTGCCTAGCACGCTGAGATCCTGGGTTCATCCCCAGCACAGCAAAAACAAAAAAGTTACCTTTCCTTTTCACCAACTTGCTGGGTGACTAAAACTTGGCGTGATATGATTAGGAGAATAAGACGTGTTTCTTACCTTGATCCTTTTTCTTTAGTGGCACTTTTGCTAGCACCAGTATTTCGTCCTGAAGCAGGCTCCGATTTCTCTTCTGAGGGAGATCCAAAGCCAGTACTAAAACGAAAACTATTTTCTTTTTTATCGTTTGAAAGAAACCACAACTGATTCCAATCACACAGAACATACAATACATCACATCGTGTCCCTTCTAAGGCCTTTTCACTTCCATTATGACTTGATTCCTCTCAAGGAAGCAGGGTGGCAGGCATTACTCCCTTTACAGCTACTGAAACTGAATATACTGGCGGGCCACAGCACCCACATTTCCCGCCTCCTCTTCCAGAAAGCTTTGCTACAGCAACTTAAAAAGCAACTAGAAAGAAGAGTAAGAATCAAGTTGCCAAAACTTAAAATCGAAACTTCTTTTTTCACCCCAACATTAAGGGGAGAGTCATTTGAGAATAGATAAACATGGTTTTCTTACCTAGTCTTTTCTTTACTTGCTCTTCTTAAGGAAGATGAGGAAGAAATGCTTCGTCCATAACCGACGTCTGATGATTTGTCTTCCATAGAAGGAGGCGGAGAACTAAAATTTCATACGTTTGCAGTTATGGACAAATGAAAATAATTTGTCAATATTGACTTTGTCCTACAAAACATGTCTTTCCGAAAGTCGTACTTGGATAACTTTTAACAGTGACATGCTACTTTAAAACCATAAAGGTGAGCTTAAGACAAAAAGAATGTCAATAAAGCTTTTCACAAGTCGGACAGGAAATATTTATATAAAATGTATGGCTGCAGAACTATAGAGATATGCATGATCATTTTAAAGAAGAATGTTGAAGCTTGAATTTTTACCTCTACCATTTACTACTTTGTTTCAAAGAAATGTTGCTTGCTAATTATATTCTAGCACACGGTTCTGGAGACCCCTAAATATAATTCTTGGTACTCCAACAGTAAGAGTCCTGACTTCCCAAATCCATTGGAAAACGACTGTGTCATGGAGAGAGCAGGGTGAATTTATGGTGGTGGTTATTCCCCGCCAGGCTATGTGAGTTTATGGATCAGTTTTTATTTTCATGATGGTGTAAGATGCAAGAGAAAAGAAAGATACCATACCAGGGACTTTTACATATTCACATGTTGACAGGCAACAACAAAAGTCCTTCTCTTTGTCCCCTACCTCGTTCCCCAAAAGACTTACACATCAGATTTGCTGTTGACTAACAGTACAGCACGTTGATCACTTGGTTCTTGCAGGCAGAGTTCCTTCAATGACAAAAGTTTGGTGCCAGGATTTATCTATAAGATAATTCGGAGACTGTAGAATATTCTCTGTGTGAATATTTTAAACATGAATGCTTATAGAATACGTTCTTCACAGTTTGAGGAGTTTAATTCATTCATTCTAAACACATATAAGTATGTGTGTATTCAGAACTTGTGAACATTCTCGCCTTCAGGCAGGATACATCCCCAGTCGCCCACAATCTCTCCTGCTTTACCATCAGCTGTTTCCTACCATAGTTATTATTTTAGCTTCTGAAAGTGTTTGAGTTCACAAATCTATCTGTGCACCTTGGGAGAATTTGCTGCCTGTAAAAGTAACTGAGTCATGAAACCGATTACAGAAAGTATGTGAGGTGTCCACAGATAGGCCAAGTGAAGTCCTACACAGGCGATTTTGCCAGCCTGGGAGAAAAGGGCTGGTCCAGATCAACTTCTGAAATGTCTTCCCTTCAAATGACCATTGGATCCTTCTCTCATCCAAGATTCTTCCCATGATACTTTTAGAAGAAGGCAAAGAGATCCTGTTGGAGTCTTCCTTCTGCTCAGGGCCCTGCCATGGTTTTCCACTTCATTCGAATTAAAGGCCCAGTCCTTCTGAGGCAGGAAATACAGTTTGGTCAAGAAAAGATGGAGTCTGACCAGATAAAATGTCACAAAAGTCCCGCCTAGGACATGCCCTCTTTAGGAGACATCAGTTGAAATGTCCTTGGAACCCTCTCTTTGTGGTTAATTCCAGTAGCCACTACATCATGATAAAAGATAGTGTTTGTGCAGAAGGGAAAGTCCCAGAGTTGGCGCATGCGCTGAGGGCTGGGGAACCAGCCTCCAATATTTAAAGCTTCATATGTAGAGACTGCATCTCAGGCATGTAATAGAACACAATGCTTTGAGGGTAGGGACACGTGTAGTCAAAAGTTATATAACGTCCTCCTGTCAGTCATAAGAAGGAATGCCCTCTCAAGTCCCCTTTTAATCCCCTACCCCCACCAAGCCCTAGTTTTGGTCTTAAATTTAAATTAAGCCCTGACAGAGAATTGTGGCCTCAAACTCCATCGTTCTGTCTGTGGGAGTGCATCCCACTTTCAACAAATCTACACTTTGCTTGCTACTTCTGCATGTTTTTTCCAAATCTTTGTTCAATTTGCCAAGAACCTGGAACACTCCCAACCTAGAAGTGTCCAGACCCTACGATGGTCTTCAGCACTCATGTGACCTGGCTTCACTGCAATCCTCCTACCTCTGCTCTCTGATTTAGTCTCCTTCATGCTGTTTCTTTCTTTCTTTTTTATGATTTTATTAGCATATATAGTTGTATATGGGGATACATTGTGATATTTACATATGTGCTTCTAATATATCTTAGTTAGATTTACCCCCTCCATCATTCTCCCTTTTCCCCCCTCCACCCTGTTCTTAGAACAATTTCTTTTCATTCTTCTGTTTTCATATATGGATACAAAATACATCCACTATATACACCCTCATTCCCCTTTTCCTTGTGCCCACCCTCCTCCCACTGGAACCCTCCTCTGGAAAAGATTTATTTTTCCCTCCTGCCCTTTATTTTTTTTATTAAGTATATATTGATGGAAGTACCAAGGGGATTTTGCCTTGGTATTTCAGCTCTGTATAAATCATGCTTTAATCAAATTAACCACCCATTACTTATTCTTTCTCTATCACCATGCTCCCTTAATATTCAACAGCTTTCTGTACAGTGCACTATATTATAGTTGTTGCAATATTTTTCATTCGCTAATATTTTCCTTATCTTTCCTGCCTCCTGTAACCCCCTCAGATGCAATTTTGTTCTCTCATTGTATATATGTGCATGTGTGTGCATGTGTGTGTGTATGACCATATATGTGTCTATATATACATTTAACTTGTAGGTCTAGCGTCTACATATAAGAGAAAGCAATGCAACCCTTGATTTCTTAGACAAGACAAGCATGTTCACCCATTATAGCTTTTGTGTTGGTTGTTTCCTCTGCCCAGAAAGCTCTTCCCCCAGATATTGCCATAGGTAAATCTCTCACCTTCTCCAAGTTTTTGCTTAGCTATTACTGTCTCAGTGAGGCCTACCTCATCACCATTTTAAAAATGGCAGACATCAACCTCAACACTGCAGAACCTCTTGTGTGCTTCTACTCTACTTTCCTTTGCCCCTCCTCCCCAACCCTCATCATTTCTATCATGTGAAATTATTTATTGACTGATCAAGGTTGCTATTTGTTGTCTGTCTCCTCCCACTAGCACCATGGGAAGAGAATCTTTGTCTCTTGTTCACTGACATAGTCAAAGTCTGAAATATCAGAAACTTAATATTTTCCGAACGAATGAATCAGAGTTCTCCTTTATAAAGGATTCTGTCTCATGAAATGCTTTAAGAACTCATGACCAAATGCATTTTGTCACAGTGTCATTATGGCAATGTTTTCCTGATGAGTGTTCTTTGTTGGTTTTTCTCCTCTTTTCCTTGGTTCCTTCAAAGCATCTTTGTATTGATGTTATGCTGGTTCTTTGAAGATTACTCATCATTGAATGAGACGGACTTTCTTGGGACAATTACTCTGTATGTCATAGTCGCAGTGTAGGGCATAGTTGTGGTAGGGATGGAGTCTCATGAACTATTTGTCCAGGCTGGCCTCAAACTGTGATCCTCCCAAGCTCAGTCTCCCAAGTAGCTAGGATTGTAGGCATGAACCACTGGCACCCAGCTTTCATCTACATTTTAAATCCAGTATTAGAATTTGATTTCAAGCAGATCATAGTAAAATGAAAAGCTTATACTTTTATCCTTATCACTTATACTAAGCCCTAGAAGTAATGAAATGCCAAAATTAAAACACTCCTTTTATATTGTGTGTGTATATGTGTGTATGTTGGCTGGGAGTGAAACCCGGGACCTTGACCATACTAGGCTAGTGATTTACCACTGAGCTACACTACACCCATCTGTTTATCTCTTATTTGAAACTTGAGTTTGCATTAGCAAGGTGCTTAACTACTACTCAGTAGATTCTAGTTAAAACTGTACAAAAATACAAAATCTTATAACCAAAGTTAAGGATAAAATGCTGATTTTTAAATTTTTGTCAGTAAAAATATAAATTACACTTGGTATTTATAAAATGGCATTGTAATAGCATCATGATTCAAGGAAAAATTACTATCATATGTAGCAAGATCCAAAGAAATGCTGCCACTTACCCGACCGTAATCATAGAATCCATCACTAATTATGTTACTTGATGACAAATAGCCAGTCTGGCTGTATTTCAGGGAAAGATTGTTGTTCAGCAGTTTGTTATAAGCTGCCTCACTGAATTTATTTTTTCGACTTACTGATAGATTAATTTCTTCAAGGATGTCTAAAGCCCTGTCAAAAGAAGTTAAAAGCATTATTTTCTTTCTATAAGCAGTCCAACACTGAGTTCCCATTTATATCCACAAGCTCCTGAATGAAGAATTGAGATGGAACTCTTTTACATAGAGCAATCCTGACAGCATTGTGAAGACAAATTAGCCCTGTTCCAAGAACACACATGCCCCACAGTAACTCCTATTCGAACACTTGTGAAGGAGCATGCTATGATTGGGATTAGGGTCCTTCAAAGGCCCAGGTGTTAAAGGCTCAACCCCAGCCTATGCCCCTATTGGGTGGGGTGATTGGGATGTGTATGAAGGGGACATTGGGACCCTAGTTTGTTCTTCAAACTAACTCTCTCTCTCTCTCTTTCTTTCTCTCTCTGTCTCTCTCTTTCTCCTCCTCCTCCTCCTTCTTCTCCACTGCCATGAGGTGAGCAAATCCCTCTAACATTCACTCCTAGCTGTCATGTTCTGCCTCATCAGAGGTCCAAAAGCAATTGAGCCAACTGACCCAGACTGAAACTCCAAAAGTGTGAGCCCAAATAAATCTTTCCTCTTTGCAGGTTGCTTTATCTCAGGTGTTTGTCATGACAATGGAAGGCTCACACAGACACTCTTAGAACAACAAAATTCATTGCTCATTTAAAGCAAAACTAATATTGGACCTTGACTTTTCCAGCTAGTCAGGCAGTATCTACAAAGAAAAAAAAATGCTTGGAAATTAATAGGCTGAACTTGTCTATGGAACCTAAAACCTTCTTCACTGCTCTGCTAAAGGCAACCAAACTCATCTCCTATTTGTAAGGACAGCAGTATGGATGAAGAAGGTAAGTACAGAATTCTGGTGAAAAGGCTGGTGGAGGGGGAAAAGTAGAGATAATAGTCAGGACTCACCCATTTGATTTTAGTGTTGAATCTGAGAGACAGATAGGATTGTGTGTGCCAGTAGCAGAGAACAGCACAAGAAAAGCCTTTATCAAAATGAACCAGGAAAGGAAATAGTGAAGATGATTTTGCGAAGGGCAGAGAAGGAAGAATGCTCAAGAGCCCCTCTCTGCCTCCCCACCCGTGCAGTGGACATGCAGGATTCTGGAGCGCTCCACTTGTTCTTCCTTGGACCTGTATGCTTCTCCATCTTCTTCTTTTTGCTTGAGCCAGAAACTCAATATGCCATCCACTCACCCAAGCCTGCATAGCTCAGTGACCATTGGCTCATCATTGGCACAGACCATCACAGCCCAGCTGGCGTGCTTTCGGACTTCATCGTTCTTGGAATGCAGCAGCTGTACAAGGGGTTCCAGTCCACCACAGTTTCTTAACTAAAAGCAAAAGCCAAAAATGTGTGCTTTAAGATTGTACAGTGTAACCAGGCATGGTGGAGACTCTGAATTTATGGCCAGCCTGGGCTACACAGCGAGACTCTCAGAAAACCAAGGGCTGGGGATGCAGCTCAGTGCTCAGTGGTAGAGCACTTGCATGTCAAGTACAGGCCCTGGGTTCAAGCCCCTCAATGAGAAAAGAATAGAGAGAGAGAGTATCAACATTAATGCTTTAGAAAATAGCATTATTTGATTGTTGAAAGGTTTCAACTATGTAAAAATGTTTTAGAATGTGTCTATATTTAGATTTATTGCATCCTTACAGACAAGAATCCAGTTTTCCATTCAAAGAAAAGAAGATGCCCCAGGGAGATCACCAGAATGTCAGCTGGATTGGAACTGGAGAAGGAGTTTCCCTCTGCCCTGTCTTCACGAGGGATGCTCTATGGTTATTCACTCTGCTCCTGAACACTGAATGTCCTTTTGGTCCTATGGTAAACAGAATAATGCTCCTCCAAAGATGTCCTCACCCCTGGAAGGGTCTTTGCATAGGTGACTAAAGTAAGTCCCTTGACATTGGGAGATTATCTTGGATTATCACAAAAACCCTTACAAGAGGGAGACAGGAGTATCAGAGCAGAAAGGGGGATGGGATAAAAGCTAACACTGGAATGATAATCGTGGAAGATGAGAAAGGGACCACAAGACAAAGAGTACAGGTGGCCTCTAGAAACTGGAAAGGACAAGGAATTTCCCCCCTAATGTCTCCAGAAGAAAGAGCCCTATTACACTTTGATTTTAGCTCAGAAGATCCATTTTCAGATCTCTGACCTCTCAAATAGTGAGATAATAGATTTTTATTGTTTTAAGCTACTAAATGGTGATAATTTGTTATAGCAGCAATAGGGAACTAATACAATCTCCAGGGCTGGAATGGGAAGAACTGATGCAGACAAGTGTCACCCTTATCACAGCATGGCCACCAGTGTTAGTCAGCAGTGTGGCCAAACCGATATTGAGGCAATTCTCTAGGAAAAGGCCCAATTTTGCTCTCTGTACAGTGTGTATTTTTCTTTTCTCAAGGAATAGAGAAGATAAAGAACAAGAAAAGAATTGAATGGAATTCCATTATTTAAAAATTGCTAAGGTATAAAATGATTCCAATGGGGTAAAGATCTGAAAGAGGTCTTTTCACCTGTCTGCAATGCAATACTGTATTATCTGAGCTGGGAGGACAGAAAGAATACCAAATAGTACCCAAGGCATTATCCACAGCCCCTGGCCACTTTCAGTCATTCTCCTGTCACACCAGGGGTTCAGGCAGGTCTCCCACTCTGGCACCTGTAACTGGGCCAGCTCAGAAAATTCATTTGAAGCATCTGTGTTTAGCAAGCCAGATTTCTGATCATTTTTATTTCTGGTATAATGCGAGATAGTAATCAAAGTCCAGTGTTCTTTTGGCAGAAATCTAATTCATTTATCCACTCATTGACTCACTTTCTCATTCACTTAACAGCTTTATTAAATACATATAATGTACTAGGCGTACTTTAATGACATGGACCTAAGGAAGAAAAATCTTGTCCCTTTCTCTGAAGCCTCAAGGAGCTTATAGTTTTTCATACAAGAACCATTGAACACAAAAAAGACAGAGAGGGATGTGTGGGGTGTAACAGGAGCACAGAGGAGGATGCGACCGAGTTTGAGGGCTGAAGACCAGCCTCATGGAGGTCAGGATGGTGGACATGGCTTTGAAGGGGGAAGAGGAATTATCAGGTGGATGCAAGGGAGACTGGCTTTCCCTGCAGGGAAATCAAGGAGGTATAAATCAGCAAAATGTGCACTCTGATGGAATTATAAATGAGGTGTTATTTCTGGGGTGTAGAGCTGCACCTAGGTAAAAGCTGGTGCTTGGGCTATTTAAGTAGATAGGAATACCTGGGTGGCTATCTTACTACCTGAATAGAGGAGTACAAATGAACTGAGTCAATGGGAACAGGAAAGGAAGTAGAGCAGATGTCTAAGACAAAAGAAAAAAGACTTGGTAATTGAGCAGACAGCATAGTGCCAAACTTGGGCTCTGGCCTCAGAAAGCTTTGTCCTCATGTCCCTGACCTGCTACCTACCCACTCTGATTTGAGCACATTATTCCTCTAAGACTCTTAAGACTCTGTTCCCAAAACTCTCACCTCTGTCCGAGCCTCCACATCGCAGGCAGTGGCAGCCACCAAGAGCGCAGCTTTGCTCTGCACCACAGTGTTGGTGGAGTGTAACGGGTTGGTGATGGCACGCATGATGTCATGATTTTGTATGACCATGCGCAGCGGCTCCTGCGTGGCCAGGTTGGTCAACACTGTGGCAGCGTTGGCGATGGCTCCATCTCGATTACTAGACAGGATGCTAACTAATGGGTCAACCGCATCCGCTTCAGCAGCAGCACTGGGAGGACAAGGAGAAACGAAGGCCATTCATGTCAGTATCTTTGGAACATGAAACTAAGTTCAGACAACACATGAACATAGAGATGCAGTTTTAGAAATAGTCTGTCATGTGATCAACCCAGAATTGGGCATTCCTGGTTTAAGTGGAGTCAGGGAAAATTCCAGGTGTGAATGAATTTGAATAATTCTTTTCCTACTTCTGCAGCTGGGGTTATAGAAAAAATATGTGATTTATATACATTTAAGAAGCCCTGTTACACACAGGAGAACAGGAGGGCAGAACAGATCCTGTGTGGGGGCTGGTACCAGTGGGAGGGGGAGATTGTGGGGAAAGGGTGTGGGAGGGTGAATATGGTGCAAATACAGTGTACACATGTATGTAAATGGAAAAATGAGATCTGTTGAAACTATTCCAGGAATGGGGAGAGGGGAAATAAAGGAGAATGATGGAGGAGGTGAATTCAAGTATGATATATTCGATATATTGTATGAACTTGTGTAAATGTCACACTGTACCCCCACCACATTAAAAAAATACATAAAATTTGCTCTAAAATGTACAAAAAAAAAAAAAAAGAAGCACTGTTACAACTGTTATTTTGTTTTAATTCAATGATACTTGTAAGACCAGGAAATTCTATTCAAAGAAAATCTATTAAACAATTACTATTGGGAAGGCAAAACCTTAAATAAGAAGAAGCAAGAATGAGAACTCCTGATCAAAGTTAAAATTTGCCAGGTGCTGGTGGGTCACACTTTAATCCTAGCTGCAGACATCAGGAGGATTGTGGATTGAAGCCAGCCCCAGCAAATAGCTCTAGAGACCCTATCTCAAAAAAACTCTACACAAAAACAGGGCTGGAGTTTTCATACAAGTGGCAGAGCACCCGCCTAGCAAGTGTGAGGCCCTAAGTTCAAACCCAAGTACATAAATAAATAAATACAGTTAAAATTCTCTGGCCCATCTTCCCTTTCTTTCAATGAGGGCTAATCATAGGCAGAGGCTAAACAGTTGAAACCAGCAAATTATTTTATGTGTAAATTTTTCTTTTTCAAATTAAATATCAAAGATTCTGATATAAATTTAGTAATGTACTATTTAGTGGTTTGATTTCCTGTTTCTAGTGTAGAAAGACTACAGTTATCCATTAATATTTTAACTTTCTTTTCACAATTAGCCTATATCTTCTTTTAAGAACACAGTAGTTCTCTATGGTCCTTGCCTTTTAATCACTTTGAAGCTCATAGAACAGTAAAAGTAAAAATTAGATTAGTTTAATGAGTGGGAGACGATTTAACTAGGTTCTTCAGCATTTGGAATTACTTTAAATAGATGAAATTCAAACAATAAGATATACATTGTGTCATGATTTTAAAGGAAAACCCACAATTATATCTTATAAATCCACTGAAGTCATCATGTTAACAGAAGTTATCAAGACAATGAAGTAATTGCTAGGTGGAGAGGGGTAAAGGAGCATAATGGAATTCAACTATGATATATTGTAGGAACTTTGTTAAATGATATAATGTATTCCCCCCAGTATAACAATAATTTTTAAAAAGATTTTTATAAAGTTTTAAATACACTTATGGTTAGCAATACTTTATTTTGAAATTAAAAATAAATAAATAAAAATGCAACTCCAATGACATAAACATCTCAAGTTAATTTTTGACAAATGTTCTGTTTTTCATTTAGGGTCATGAAATAGCCCAAACTGAAACAGACTGAGTGAGGCTCTCTGATTAACCACCACCCTAGGCATTTAACTTGCTACTGTCACTGATTTGCTGACTCTGAAGGAGGATGGGCCACCTCAAGAACAGAAGTTGAGGATTGTCCAGCAGCGTACATGACAAATAAAATCTGGGTGAGGAGCCTGGTAGCCCTGGGCGCAAGGGGTGGGGATCGTAGACAAGCCAGACCAAAGAGGAAACTGAAGGGCAGGGCCTGGACAGGGGTCCAGTGAGTGGAAACAGCGACTCTGGATAACGATGAGCTGGGCAGGTGGCCGTGCTCCCTTACATAAACCCACCCATCTAACACACCCCACTGACTCCAAGGCAGAGGCAATGCTGGGTTCCACTGCTCCCCTTTCTCTACCTTTGGTGGCACTTCTTATGCCATCTCTCTTTCTTTCTCTGGAAAGATGACTCTTAAAATTAGTCTGGTTAGATGACATGAAACTCAAATCAATTGTATAATTGTTACTTATATAATAATTGTCGGAAAGGCTTGTGCCTCACCACGATAGCTGAGGGTTACCATTTAGTTTCCTTTCCTAAGAGATGAAACAAACACTCTTAAGATAATTTCACTTTTAATTCTCTTTCCAATTATTAATTGAAATGGTGGCCATTTGGTTTTATGAACAAGAAAAATGTTAAAGGTTTTAATATATTAGCTTATTGGAAATGACTCTTATTTTTGCTTTCATATTTTTGCAGTTGAAACATTGAATTTTAAAAATCCTATCAATAGGTTTTTCTTTTTTGGGGGGAGGGGGAGAAGAGCTAGGATTAAATCTAGGACCTTGTATATCCTAAGCACTTGCTTAGTAACTGCTGAGCTACACCCTAAGCCCTGGAATTTAAAATTCTGTATATTTTCTAATTGATTAATACATACTTAAATCTTTTCAAGATCATTTTTTCTTTGAATTATTTTTCAAGTACTTATCCAATCAGTCCATTAAATTAAATATTTTATATCTTTTTAATTATTGTAACATATCCAGATACACATGCATGCTTCCTTTATTGAACAGTGGCATTTTTTTTCTTTTGACAATATTCATTTTTACAACATTTTGGAGATTTAGGAAAGTGCATACAATGGAGATATTTCTATCATAAAAGGCAGAAATCCTTAAGTAAATGCACACAAATAAATTTTCAAAGGCTTTGTCTTTTTTGTATACTAAGAAGCTTTTGGAAACTTAAAGGAGTTTGTAGGATCACACCTTGTCTTTGTGGTTTCTCTCAAACTAAGAAACTAAGCAATGTTGGGTCAAGATACAGGAATTTCTATCAGGTAAGCATGAGCTCTCAGCTCAGCCTTTTGGCTCTGACTTGATTTCTCCTGCACAGAAGCATATGTTGCTTTGGTCCACATATTCCCACCTTCTGCTCTTTTCTTTGCTCTTTATGGAGAGAGAGAAATACATAAAAACCCAGCTGTTTAAAACTCCAAAGATTCTAGTACACAATGGAAGACAACTTTTACGACACTGAACATAAAAGCCAGAGTGGAAAGACAAGTCGCGCATGCACATCTGGGAAGCACAATTTGCATTGTACATACATACCTAATTCCCCTATGAAGTCTGCTTAAGTGTGAAAAGAGAAAATGAAATTAGCTTACTATGGTGGAAAATCAAACTACTATTCCTTTTGGGCTGCACTGGGGTTTGAACTCAGGGCTTCATGCTTGCTAGGCAGGCCTTTACCACTTGAGCCATCGCACCAGACAAACTACTATTCTTACCTAAAAACTAATTTCATTTATGAGAGTGCAGAATTTGTAATTTGTGAAAAAAAGTATTAATTTTGTTTCTTTCAAGTCCCAAGCCTTCTGTTTTATTTTTTCCTGTCTTAATATGGACACAAATTGAAGCCTGTCATATTTTTAAAACACATTTCAGTTTGCAAATGAATGGGACAGAAGTCAAAATGCTTTGTTATTATTGGGCCATGTGTCATCACAAGAATTTAAAAATATTTTCTGATATTTACTATCACTAGTCTCCATCCAGCTGGAGTTTAATCAAGTAAGAGTTTAAAATGTAAGTTGAAAAAAACCAAAGTTAAAAACAAATACAGCACTGTATAAAAACACTTGTGTATATCATATGATGTGTGTAAAGCAATGTGAAGTCTGAGATTCATGTGTAACCAATCCTGACTACCTTCCTCCACTACAGTTTCTCCATTCTCTCTCCTGTCTCCACCCTCTCACCAAATTTAATCCAACTTCCTCTCTTGTGGGTGACATAAATATGAATGGTTCCTGAATCACGATTTATGATTTTTCAGTTTTGCAATGGTGTGAAAACAAAGCGCATCCAATAGAAACTACACATCAAATTTTGCATTTGGATCTTTTACCAGGCTAGTGATATGCCATCGGCAGTTAGCCAGGCAATCACCAGGGTAAACAACTGGTACCTCTGGGACACTGTGCTGTGAAGCTGGGATGCTGTATAGTTTAGGTGTATTAAACGCCTTTGGGACTTAATGATACTTTCAACTTAAGATAGGTTTATGGGAACCTAACCCCACCATCAGTTGAGAAGCATCTGTAATTTCCTAACAAGTCATTTGTACTTCCCTCCGGCCCTTTTTCCATTTTAAAATTATAATTTAAAATTATAAATATTATATTGCTTCCCTGCTTAAAACTTGCATGGCTCCCCATTGCCCAGGATAAATCCCCAAATATCTCACGCAGCCTGCACAGTGCTGTGTGAGTGGCCCTGCCTCCCTCCCCAGCCCCATGTGCACCCCCATCCCTCCCTCCTCTTCTTATGGCTCTGCTCTGGGCTCTTTATCACCTCAGGGCATTCTCACGCACTCTCCCAACTTCCTGCCATCCTCTTCCCCTGGATACTTCCCACGGATCTCTCAGAGTTCAACACAAATGTCTTTTCCTCCAGGAAGCATTTCTGTATCCCAAACTCCGTCTCTTTTTTGTGACATGAATTCAGAGGCTTTGTTTAGTGAATGTATACTTTTTTGGTTTGTTTGATTAAATAATGTTTTGGCACAAATGTTGACTGTCAGAGAAAGGTAACAATCAAAAATATCATTTTACAGTATTTGATATGTGACGGAGTTCAGCAACTTTTCATCAAAGTCCCCAAGCCCACATTGGAAACTCTTGCAGAATGGGTACTGAGAACATCACTAAGGAGAAATTCAATCATAGAAATAACATTGACTGACAGCTCACTGAAATACACAGTCCGACTTCAGGTCTGCATCTGTGCACTGATG